AAATATTTAACGGCTAGATACCAATTAATTATAGAACGAGCATATTAAAATAAGAGGGGGGGGGAGAAGTGAGGTGAGATGAACAGGGTAAAGTGAGTTACCTCTAATTAGACAGCCTTTAACGAAAAAAAAAAAAAAAAAAAAAATCGCCAGAAGGATCTACTTAACTTCCTCCTAGTAAAACCTAGTTAAATTACGAACGATGGAATATAACTTATTTTAAAGAGTTTTAAAATGTATGAGGACTTTAGTTGAATGGCTTAACTGTAAATCGATGGATTTAAAAATAACCTTTTATATGTATCTAAAGTGTTGGAGTTCTAATTAGAAAGGACGGAGGAGGGTAATGAATGACTATTTTCTAAGTATAAAAAGTCACAACGTCCTGCAATATATTAGCCGTTGGTTGAAATTAAGCCTACATAATTGAATAGATACTGCATTATTTAAGTCGCATTTTACACAACAACATGCTTTTACATATGCTGCCAATAAATTGGGAATTAGTATTGACACATTTAAACATACAAAAAAAAACAGTAGGTGACATTTAGTTAAGAATTTCTATAAAATATTTTTTATAAATGAAATCACGATCAACATAATTTTTGCGTTTTCAATTTCCGTTTTGTAATGTTCGTTGTATGTATCTATTTTGTTATGTTGCATCGTACTTAAATTCGTGAGAATTAAGTCGGTTATTTCAATAAAATAATGCTAGTAGAGTAACTAATTAGCATATACCCAAACAGTTCGGATAATGATTCAATCGTTGGGTCTAGAATAGAATTGTTCTCGGTAATTGTGTTTAATCTTTTCTTTAAACATCTAACTATGATCATTAAGAACAAGGCGTGGAATATAATTGATAGATCAAACGAACTTACCTGAAGTGAAGTTCGATCTCAATTACGTATATGAAACGCCTTGTTCGAGATGATCGAACCCACCCACACACCTATACCCAAGATCATCTCTACAAGATTCAAACACAATTACCGCTTTAAAAGAATGGCTCAAGAGCGTGCTTGACTGTCACGAGACGGGAGCAGAGGTGGGAAGGACTGGGATACCAGTTATTTTGGAGATTTCTAAATACTTTTGAGGGTATTTAGCAGAGACAACACGAGACGGTTAACTTCATAGCAAAAATTGATTGACATTTAGGTATAGTAGTCATCAGGGTCAGCTGGTATTTTATCTTTGTCATGTACATTATTTTCTTATAACGTTATCTTGTTCTCATAAGCTAAAAGATAGGGTAGATGTCGCTGGTAACGTTCCAGCAATGTTGCCGTTATGAATATTTTCCAAATTTGTTTCTTTTACATTTAAATAATAATGATCTTATTTATCCATAAGTAATACTTATATTGGACTTTTAATTTCTTTGTATATAATATATATATAACAAAAGATGTGTTTTAAGAAATATATAGCAGAATTGTGTACAAAGATAAAAAATAAAAAGTCAATAGCACTAGAAGAAAATAAGTTTGGCATCACAGCACGAGCATTTCACTTTGACGTCTGCCAGATTGGCGTATTTCTAACCTATCATTTTATCTCCTTGTCCAATTTTTTGTTTCTATGTTTGATGACTTTGGTTTCGTTTTACTTATATATATTTTATAATTTAACTTGCAAATTCATTTTTTTTTGTTGTTTTTCATTCATTATTAGTTACGTATTTAAATTTGTTAGTTTAGTGTTTTCCCTGGTAAATGACATTTTTATCGTGGTGTTTTCATATTAGGTAGTTTTAAGTTTGTATACAAACCCGAAGGAACTAACAATGCCCGGATCACGCCGGGATTTTGTTTAATTTACGTAAAGTATTTCAATTTTATTGTAGAACCTTTGTGGTGTGAATGTTTATTATTATTTAATACAGAATATATCTTATTATTGAAATCATACTTCGTTTTATTTTGTGTGCCTAAAAAAAAATATTTTTTTTTCTGATTTGATGTGCTAGTAAATGTGAATTACATATTTATTCACATTCCCAGTGCATCAAATCAGAAAAAAATCATAAAAATAATATATAAAGTGGATCTACATATTTGAATTTCCCGCGGTTCTGCTTTTTTTTTTAAATTATAATTTGACCGGTTGCTTATAAAGAAAAAGGCCACTATTAAAACACAAGGTATACCAGCGCCATCGGCCTTATCTTCCAGTTCAATCGCCCAGTCAATTCTTGGTGAAAAGCAAAATTGCATTGAGTTAACCGTCTCATTAGTTGTCTCTGGTATTTAGACTTTAAAATATGTAGCCACAGAGCGGGAAAAGGGGGGTACTACCTATGATCATCTCGAATAAGGCGTTTTATATAATTGAGATCGAACTTCACTTCAGGTAAGTTCGTTTGATCTATCAATTATCATTGAAAGGCATTCTGATGGCTTGTTGATTGATTCCTTTCACTGCTTCTCCATCTTGTTTTAAATTTTTATAAAATCCATGATTCACTGGTGGAATAAAGTCAAGTAGGGTAAGCAGGTTTCTGTATTTAGCATTTTTTATTTTTATGGAACTTGGGTGCAGTGGCGTGAGCATGGACAATCAGAAAGATGGACGTCCAACTTGAGATGATCCCATTATGAATATCCAATATTCAGTATAGTTATTTAGGGCACCTTTGTATCCAAAGGATAGCCTTATTTTTTTTTGTACAGAAACCATGAAATTTTTCTTCACTTCATCAGTTTCTTTTCTGGATATTTCATTATTTGGTGAAGTGGCGAAAGAGTAAAAATCTAGTCATACTAATTACAATGAAATTTTTGGATGTTCTTCTTATGACATTTTGTCAATCTGATGGGCCAAACACTTGTAACGGTTCGAACCGTTATTCCGACACAACCATCTCTTAAATGTCATTTGTCGTCTTCTTCTTCTTCTTCTTCCATTATTCGCCTTGTGAGAATTTTTTTTGACTTGGATATCAACGAATCAATCTGATTTGAATTTTAATATATCTTGGTCATTCGATGTACCAAATAATTTTAATATATCGTAAATTCCGTCTGATTTTGTAAGCATAACTATATCTAGACGGTTTATGTGGATTTATATCTAGACGTTTTGAATTCCTATCAAGAAATTTTGAATTTCTATCAAGAAGTTTTATGGTTTCTATACCTAGAAGTTTGTTTTGGTTTTGGTACAATCTGAAGACCGTGGGTTGATTCATCTCTAGAAGATCTAAAAAGGTTCTAGTTAAGTTAGAATACCAAATATCACGAGATCATTCAAGTTGCAGAATTACGAATAAGGATACCGAATTCCTTTGAAGAAGTCTGAAGATATACCATGCAATAAACATTCCTTATATTACCTTCTTTTAACTAAAGATAAGTGCTTTTAAATAAATCATCTTAAATTTGAAGTTAGTAAAACTATGTGAATTAGAATTTCCTACTACCATATCTAAAGCACGGTTTAAATATAATTTGTTAGTAGGTAGTGATTTTCTATATTTTTATCACTAATTTAAAGTCAAGTATAGTAAGTTTTAAATATAGTGGGTCTCAACTCATTTTTCAAAGTTAATCGAGTTATTTAATAACCTAACCCACGCCCAATCAATTAAGCTTAAACACATTATAACAAATAGATAAAATATCAAGTATCACGTTACACACTTGAGGGATTTGTCTTTTCTTGTTTTTTATACAAAAAATAAGAAGATACCTACATAAATGTACAAAAGTATAAAGTATTTGAAAATAAATACAAAATAAATAAATAAGTATGCGATGATAAAATAACACAAACACACAAGAGGACTTAGCTAAGAGTTTTAACATAACTAATTACTGTTAAAATAATTTAGCTTTTTAAACGGAGTTTATATCATGAGATAATTGAATAATTTGAACTCTTCCTTCTTACTTGTTATAACACAAAAATTAATAGAATTCGCAGCTCTTGTATGGTACTGATGTATGTAAAAAATGGGAGTAAGTTGATAATTCAATACATTATTCACTATTTTAAAAATAAAGATCATTGCCTGCATATACAAACTGTGCCATATTCAACCAGTTCAACATAGTCAACATAAACTGAATGCTATATCTGCTGTAACCTCTCAAAAGTAGAGTTATAACATCCTGTGTATATTATATATTTGGCACAACTTGTATCCTAAAGATATCATTTGGGCATAGTTTAAATCAGGGGTGCCCATACGGTCGATCGCGATCGTCCGGACGATCGCGAAGGCTTTCAAAGTCGATCGCCGAGGAAAAATTTTTATGAAATGACACCGGTAGTTTATTGTTAAAAAAAAGTATAAAGAATTATGAAGACTGTACCACAACATCTGACCCTACCCTTCGGTGCTGGGGCGCGCGGGCAGGGGAGTCGTTTGCGCGACAATGACAGCAACAGCAGGCAGTGAGCGAATAAGCGTCATTCAGTGCAGTCACGTACGTATCACCGCGAAAGTTAACAACAAGATAGCAGCTAAAAGACAACAAAATCGTAAATTGAATATTATTTGAAAGGTAAATAGAAAAAACTATTAATTACATTATTATAATGAGTTATTTCATTACTATGTTTTATACATGATTTCTGCAACAAAATATTATTTGTTTGTGAAGAAATGCGATTATTGTCATATTTTTTTTGAAATTTTTAGCGTTTCTGGATAGCAGTCCTTTAGGAACAAGTCAAAAATTTTATATGTGTTTTTGCTGAAATCATGTATAAAACATAGTTATAATTAATTCAGGCTCTTAAGTTGCTACACGTGTTTTTTATTGTTTGTAGATGAAGAACCGTGAATCCCTGAAACAATGAGTGGGCCGAAGAAATTCAAAGCGTATCACTTCAATCCTGAGTGGAAAGAATAGTTTTTTTTCTTCAGAAAAATGTGTATGTTTGATATGCCGATTTGCCATCGCCCACACCAAAACGAGGTAATTTGGAGAGACATTATAAAACCGTACATAAAAAATATGAAGACAGAATCTTAATTGAAAGACATGAAGCGTTGTTTGGCAGGTGAACAAGCCATGTTTACAAAACCGTTGGAGAAGTCCAAAGCGGCTACTATTGCATCATACAAGATAAGCCACATTTTAGCTAAAAATAAGAAGCCATTTTATGATGGAGTGATGATAAAAGAATGCTTTCTCGAAGCAGCTGAGTCTTTGTTCGTATATTTCAAAAACAAAGCTGAAATAATTTCAACCATTAAAGATATTCAACTATCCCGGCAAACCGTGACTAGACGTGTGGCAACAATAAACAAGAACTTGGAAAGTCAAAATATGAATGATCTCAGAGACTGCTCTTACTTTTTACTCCAATTTGATGAATACACAGACGCAACAGATGTGGCGCAACTGTGTATTTTCATACGCATGATCTTTCCAGATATGACCGTTAAAGAAGACTTTCTAACAATGATACCGTTGAAAGAATGTACTCGAGGAGTGGATATCTATGATTCATTTCTAAAGTAGACACAAGAAGCATAAATGCCGGTGTATAAACTTGTATGCATAACCACAGATGGAGCTCCAGCTATGACAGGCAACCATTACGGATTCATCGCACTGTGTCGAGCTAATAAAGGATTTTCAAGCTTTTTCGCTTTTAGCTTTAAACATGAAAGATGTCATGACCGTAGCCTTCAAAGTAGCAAACTCCATCCGAGCGAGTAGTTTGCAGCGGCGATTATTCAAAGCACAACTAGATTCGAGCACACTGACTTACTTCTTAACGCAGATGTAAGGTGGCTAAGTCGTGGAAGATTCGTTGCAAGATTTCATGAGTTACTGCCTGAAATAATAATATTTCTAGAAGCCAGAGGAGACGATGTTAAAATACTGAAAAATAGAAAATGTCAGAGCGATTTGGCTTTATTAGTCGACATTACAAAGCACCTCAACGATATAAACCTGGAGTTGCAAGGAAAAGACAAAAATATTGTAGACATGATGTCCTCCATAAATGGTTTCAAGCGTAAGTTGAAACAATTGAAGGAAGAAATTAAAAACAAAGACAGCAGGAACTTTCCAACCCTGCTATTGCAACAAAACTCTGAAAGTTTCGTATGAAAACGAAGTGACAAAAATTCTGAGCGAATTTGAAAGACGCTTTGAAGATATTAATAAAATGGAGAATATTTTATAATTTCTGTCTTACCCATTTACCTGCACAAATGTTCATGAAATCTCTTCTAGTTGTAGTTACTATTTTAATATGGAATGTACTGCTCTTGAGGATGAAATATTGAAGCTCATTTCGGATATAAATTTAAAAGCTTGAGCCGGCAACAGTGATTCTTATTCTTACTGGTCATCAATATCCGAAATAAAATATCCATTGATGAAACAAATTGCCCTACAAATCTTTGCTTTCTTTGCATCAACATATCTGTGCGAGTCTTTATTTTCGCATATGAAAATAATAAAATCAAAATATCGCACACGTCTAACAAATGACCACCTGACAGCCTGTTTGCGTTTAGCATTAAGAGAAAACATCCCTAATTATGAAAATTTCGCGGAGGACCACCAATGTCATGCTTCGACATCAGCGTTAAAATAATTTTTCTTTTTTATCACTTATCAGTAATATTTTTTATTATTTTTGTAGTGTTGGATGATTAAAAATTTAATAATCATCACTAATTCCGTCTTACTTCTAATTCTTTTTTGATAACTATTTTTTCTTCACGATGAACCGACGATCTGCAGGATCGCGCGCCTTCGATGAATGCAAACGCAGACCGTTCGTCGCGTAAATCATTGACGGAGGTCTTTATGTCTAGCAGTGGACGTTCAAAAGGCTGAAATGATGGTATGATGGTGTCATTATATTTTGGTTTTAGTTGATGGAATGCATGGTTTAAATGTCGATCTCGTAGTCAAATATTTTTGCTAGGTCTTGGGTTAGTTTATAAAAACCTGTTTACTACCAAATTTTGATTATTTTTATATTCGATTTTCTTTCCTGAATTTTCACCATTACTTTGCTTGAACTTTTAGAAGGCATAAATAAAAGTGTCGTTTTTTTTATAGGGGAAATGTGCCTAATATCGTACATCTTCCTAATATCGCACACCATATTATTTTCTACGTCATTGCTATAAACTACCTGCAGGCGGCTAAACAAGTTCTGCAGGCTGATTTGTTAGTGTAGAGTAAGAATTAAGAGTGATAACAACGAGTATGTTAGCTCTGTGAATTATTGGAATATTTTACGCGCGTAAAGTTTTTTTGGGGTTATCTTCAACATTATAAGTTTTTTATAATTGAACTGTTCCGGAGACATTATTGAATGTTGTAGTTTTAATAGTTATAATTTGATTTTTAATTGAGTTCGTTGTTTCGACAATATTAAAAAAATATTTTTGGTCTAAAGTTTTCCTAATATCGCACTATTCCTAATGTCATAATATCGCACTGTGCGATATTAGGAATACTATAGTTTGTAGATTTGTAAGGGGGATATCTACGCCTGTCGTTACTTCGACCTAACATATATTTTGTGAAAAATACTATAGTTTGGTGTAGATTAAAGCATAACAGAAATTTTTAATTACAGATGCCGCCTAAAAAAAGGAAACAGTGGTCGACAGAAAGCATGAAACGAGCAATATTAACTGTTAGAGCCAAATAAATGGGCCTGTTACGTGCATCGAAACATTTTAGTGTACCTAAGTCAACATTAAAAGACAAAGTGAACAGTGCTGAAGAGGATGTCATTAAGTTAGTATCTATAAAGCTTGGTAGAAAACCTACACTCGATATAGAGTTAGAAGAAGCATTAGTAACGTACTGTTTGGAAATAGAATCTCGGTTTTATGGACTAACAGCAAAAGACGTAAAAAGAATGGCGTTCCAATTAGCTGAAAAAAATGGACTTCAGCACCAATTTCGCAAGCAAGATGAAGCAGCAGGATGGAAGTGGTTACGTTCATTTATGAGAAGATATCCACGACTTAGTTTAAGAAAACCACAGGATACATCTTTAAAAAGAATTACGGGATTTAGCAAAAAGACCGTAAAAGCTTTTTTTGACCTGTATGAGCCATTATATCCCGCCCCTTTTGGTATTTCCAAGAAAAAATATGAAACCAGAGCTATTGGCCGGCGCTCCAAATGGAAGTTCAGCAGCGTGCCATAAATCTGGATGGATTGAAGCGAAGTTTCCAAAAATGGTTTAAGGAACAATTTTTGGCAAATGTAAAGCCTACCAAGAACGATCCAGTGGTTTTGATATTAGATGGCCATTATTCTCACACACGAAATCTGCCATTGCTAGAGTTGTCCCGAGATAATGGGGTGCATATTGTAAGTTTGCCACCCCATTGTTCCCATAAAATTCAACCTCTTGATAGGTCATTCATGGCACCTTTTAAGACTTATTATGCACAAGCTATAGAATCATGGTTAAAGCACAATTCATATAGAGCTATAACCCACTACCAAATAGGAAAACTTTTAGGTGAAGCTTATAACAAGGCAGCAACAGTTGCTACTGCAGAAAACGGTTTCAGGAAGACCGGATTATTTCCACTAAACTGCAATATTTTCCAAGCTCATGAGTTCGTTGTCCTCGAAACTGAGTCAGAAGTAGACGTTCAACAGTCAATGTCCAGCAGCGCTCCTCCATCAGTTATTCTTGATGATATTCATCAGCCTGGACCTAGTAATATTCAGCGAGCTATCGCTGCTATTTATAAACCAGGACCTAACCACATTTGCCAAAAAAATGTCTCGGAACAGTCAGGACCAAGCAGCCCTTATCCTTTTAGAATAATGCCAGTTCATATCAGCCCGCTTCCTTTTATAAAACCAAAAACTCACAGTGTTAAATGTAGAGGACGACCAAGCCGTCCAGCTGCAATAATCACAAGTTCGCCATACAAGGATCAGTTGTCTCAAGACATTGCAGAAAAGGAAAGAAGAAAAGAAGTCAAAGCGAGCAAAAGTGTTAAGAGAAATATAAATCCAAAATTAAAAGCACCACCTAACAAAACAAAAGGCAAGAGAAAGAAGGTAACAGATTCGTCTTCAGAATCAAGTGAAGAAAATATTGATGAGCCGTTGACTGTCTCCACAGATGAAGAAGATAGTGATGATGATTGTGAGTGCCCCTATTGCAATCAAATTTATTTAAGTGATAAAAAAGGTGAACCGTGGATAAGATGCATTAAATGTTGCATTTGGTGCCATGAAGCATGCTCTGGTTCTGATGATTATTCAACTTTTGTTTGTGACTTTTGTTTAGAAGGATAAATTGTCAAAAATCAAAACTACTCACCGATATACATTTTTTATACTATTCTTTTAATAAATACCTTAAATAAATAATTTAGTTTTATTTATACTAAATATAAATTAAGCAAAAGCTTAACATCGCACTATGCGATATTAGGAACATAACCTGTGCGATATTAGGAACACTATTTTAAAAAATAAACAAATGGCGGATTTCCATTTTTTTTTATTTTCTTTTTATGTAAATATCGTATAGTTGTGTAAGTTCCTGCGACTTTTAGGAAATTGATGAAGTTTATAGAATATTGAATACTATTATTTTTTACTATATATTAACCTCATAAATAAACATTAATAAAATGGGTGCGATATTAGGCACAATTCCCCTATAAATTGTTGCAGCTTGTCTGCAAGAGTATATTCCTCTGGTAATATCTTCTAGAGCTTCTTTAATCTTACATTTCTTTGTTATTATTTTATAGTTTCGTTCCATATTTACAGCTGAAAAAATGAAAAATATAATACTAGATTGTTTAACCTCAAAGATTTTTATTACATTACAAAAATAAAGTGCTTTTAAATGGGCATGGGACTGGCGAAAAATAACATATTATTAAGGTAAAATCATATGCACAGCTTTAGAAATAATTTAAAACCACTCACCTCTATTTCAAGATGCAATTATAACTTTACTTCAAAGAAGTTTCTTATGTATTATTTAAAATAAACAAACGTTTCTTCTATATTTGTTGCTTTTATTTAAAATCCCAAAATATCAAGAGGTAGGCTACCAGTTTAACATTTTGAAAAAATATGTGTTGCCTAACCTAGTAGTAAAGGCATCAAAATGGCCGCGCCCTATGTTGGGCATGTCGGACGTCTCTCTTGCACCGTATAGTAATCAAAGTATATAATACATACTGATTTCGATAACTAAAACAATTACACAGAAACCTAGGACAAACGTTAAATGCACAGCATGCTTGATTGAAAAATTATAGGTTTCTATTAATTAAAAATCTGTATCGTTATGAAAAATCTGTATCGTAATGGTTATCGTTATGAAACGTATTATGAGCATATAAGTGCATTATTATAATACGGGTGTAGAAAAGTTGTTTTAAAATAGGAGTCGTGTATAAAAGACGATAAGCATATTGTTTGTATTAAAAAAAAATATATATATATTTCCGACCAGCACACGTGCTAAGGAAAAAAATATTCCATCTGTAGATGGTTAAAAGCATGACCTAGTCTTATAATTATGATATTTGGTCAACTTTAGTAAGAAATTACAAAGGTCGAAAATAATTAAATGAAGTCTTTAACTCTCAAGAAATTATCTCTACTTTGTAACTGTAAGTTCTCTTTTTAGTTCAGATTCTAAAGTGACTCTCTCTTGGATGTAAATTGGAACGTCTTTTTTTCTTTTATTGGCTTTGATCCAGGAAGATCTGGTGTGGCTACTATAGATAAACGACAACGGCAAATAAAAATATCGGCTTTTGTTGTTTTAGAGTAAGTTTTCTTACATTTTTAAGTTTATAGTTTCTTTTTATTTATATAAAAACTATCTTTCTATATCTTTATTTTAATTATATGCTTATTATTAGAGCTAGGAATATATGTAAAACGCCATATTTTGCATATGTTGCATATACAGGGTGATTCATAACTATTGGGACATAATCTAAGGTCAGATTATTTGGAGCAAAATATGGCGATAGGGCCAAATATACCTTAATAAAATATTGTTGTGGAATAAGATACAGGGTGATAAATAATAATGATAGTAATAATAGACTATAATCAAACAGCAAAAATAATTTACTGTCAAGAAATTACATGTAACAAACACAATTATCTGATACTCCAAAGCACACTTTTCATATGTGAAATATTTTTTTAACTCCCCATTTGAGACTTGTGAGCTGCTCAATTGCGTTTTTCTCGAAAACGGGTAAAATTATCGTGTTTAAACAAAAGTACCAATATTACGTAGAAATGACGTTTACATCATATTTTGCAATCAAAAATACTAAAAAGTTTTGTCAAAAAAAGCTAACACTTAATTTCATTATAAGTAACCATTCAAGTGGTGCCCCCGGTAATAAAATGAGAAATTATGCATAAAATATTATCCCCTGTCCAAAGATATGCCTCTGTGCCGATTATGATAACAATTCATTAATATACAGTGACATTATAAAAAAAAACGAAAAAAAAATTCAAATTTAACGCCCTGTATCTTATTCCACAGCAATATTTTATTGAGGTATATTTGGCCCTGTCATCATATTTTTGTACAAATAACCTGCCCTTAGCCTATGTCCCAATAGTTATGAATCACCCTGTATATACAATTTTTTATTTTGACATTTTGTTAATTTTTTGGCATATATCTGACGTACTAATTGGCTGGACATATTAAAATTATGAGTTTTGGACCAAAATAATATTTTGTGAAATGCCTTTACAGGTCGATTTCCTAAAATTTTAAATGATTAACTTTTCCCTGTAATAAATTACGGTTAATAGTGTAGGTACTTGAGAGGATTAAATT